GATAGAAAAAACAAAAACTCCGGAGAGATGGTAATAAGTTGCCAGATATATAATTTTATTCAAGTGAGCAAACGTTTTCGGTTATCAAACTTTGTCAACCTATATATATCATATATAAATATATATCATATATATGTTATGGTAATGATAATAACAGCATATGGCAATTGCATATAACTAGGTTATCATAGTTTTTGTACAGGTCGGTTATTATTATAATATTAATATGTATGCTAAAAAGCTAAAATAATGGAAAATGGCAGCCATTTTAAATTGTAATAGCTCAAAAATGTGTACAATATTTAGTTAACTGTTGCTGTCATTGTTATGAGTGGATTTCCAATTGAATACTGCATTTTAATGACATAAATTTACAATATTAGAGACAATTTTAGGAAAAAATCGCGGCCATTTTGAAACAGCTGGCAACCCCCCTTACGTATGAAAAAAAAAAGTTGCACATACTTTTTTGATTTATCTATGTCTATTCTACATCATATCCAATTTTTAAAAAATATAGCAAAAAAAAAATGCAATCAACCAAAGTTTGCTGGACTATAAATCCCTTTGTTGTTGTTTTGAACGAGTACGTCCACCACCCTACCGGGCCAGGGAGGGACTTTAACATGGGGGTCGTGGCGGATTCAGGAATTCGAAATTGAGGGGGTCCAGAGAGATACTTTCACAGAAATAGAAACCCGAGTCCACCCCACCTCAGCTTGCAATGGCACTCGCAGACTTAAATGAGAATAAAGATAATTCTAGTGGAACCTATAGAAAAGAGAAAATGAGTTTATACGTGGAGAGTTATTGACACGCAAGCGGCGGGGAAAAAACACTCAAATTCCTCAAAGAGCTTATAAATACAGTTCAAAAGTCTTTACTTCTGCGACAAATTAGAGGCAGTCAAGGTTGGCAAGTGCTCTGATAGGTCAAGAAGTATTGGTGGATGGATTTGCAACTAAATTATATAAAAATAGTAAAATTATCATTAAAGTTGATGAAGCTTCCCTTATAGTATCATCCACTTGCTCAAAATCATCAAAAGTATGTTTTACTTTTCTCTAGTTATCTTACGTTCAGTGCATTAGAGCAGAGAATGGCTCAATGTGACCGAACTGTTCTTTTTTTCCTAATCATTGACATCATCTTTCTTACTTCTTGCTTTCCTTAAAACATCCTCAATGACTTTTCACATAGTGCAACGTGATATTTAATAGGCGGGGCCAGGAAAATACATGCCCCTCTCAACACATTCTAAGGGGCGGGGCTTTTAGCCGGAATGGCCATGACATTCTCAACATTTGTTGATAAAACCACGTCTCCGTTGTCACTGCCATGTTTATTTAACAGTTCAACACTATTTAGTTCCATTGTCGTTATCGATCTCTTATTTTCTGAAAATTATCTTATGTTAAATACAAAATAAGTGTTATGATATATATGAAACAACAACTTAGGTCTATCGAATATGTTACTTTCAGATTATGTGTGATGTTTCAGCGAGAATGTACACTCCTTATCTTAAGTGGTAATGATGCTTGTAATTAGTCTTCAATTGAAATACATTATAAACGAGGGCTTATCAAGGATATTCATCTCATCGAAAACACCGTGGTGGCATGCTAATATCGAGTAGTAAATTTCATGTACCTGATGGTGGCTTCTTTGATCGACAATACCAGACCGATGTTCATATATACAAATTTTGAATACGTGTTTTAACTATAAGATAGTATGAAACAACTACAAAAAGAAAGTAATACAAGTCATTGTGATTCAATACTCGAACTGTATTTGTTCATCTTCCGGAATTAATTTTTGCTTTTATGTGAACCTTACTGGTGAACCCCATGGTGTTATGACTATATTTATCATTTCTTAGTATATCTTAAACAAACCAGTATCAGTTAGAAAAAAAAGTGTTACATAAGAATAACTCGTTCACCTGTCAGCTGCAGTTTTTCCACAATTACTACTATTTCAAATGTATAGTATAGCCTACTACATAAGATATCACGACGTCGTGCTTTATCCGAACGCCCTTTCTATGGGAAACGGAAGGCGCTGCATACGTTATACTAGCAATATTTACCTTTTTTTATTAAACACCTACTGTATCGTAATTAAACTATAATTTAATTGGAGTTATCACTATCTTTCATGTCAAAACCCAGAGTATGCTCAATAAATGTTAATTGAAGTTGAAATGAATATATGAATTGCACAGTTCTATTAAATGTGTATACACACACTTAGACACACACGCCCACCCACACACCCAC